CAGCTGCCAGCTGGGGCTAAACCACGTCTCAAGACTGATATGTCAAGCTTGTCTGTTCTTTTGGGATGTCAAATTTCAGATTAATTCAGATTAGAATCTCTCTTAGAGAGGCAGATTTTTGGTCCATTCCACATGTGTGGTTTATCAAGAAAGCCATTTCCATGGTTGTGTACTAGCCTAACAGTGATGCTAACCTGTCATAAATAAATACGGGGTTTTTACTGCGCAAAAGCCTCCCAAAGGCTGTCCCAGGTCTGCAGTCGTGGACTGTGTAAGTGGGCTGGCATCCACTGCTCTGTCAGAAGCAAATGATTTTGTTGTCTAGATAGACTGTAAGTCATGTCGCTGGAGAAGCTTTCAGGACTTGCTGTGCACATTAAAGAATCCACTGTCCACTGTAGGCAATAGGGAGTCAGCAGCTTTAATGACTTTAAGAGGCTTGGATTAGTCCCAGCATGAGGCTTCTAGTCTACAGTACTAACACTTCATCTTTTGCAAATGTTTAGATCACGTTTCAAAGACTTATAAACTATAATGTAAATGGTCTGGGATAGTGCAATCAAAAAAAATGGTAAAACAAAAACGTCATCAATAATTCTGAAATTTCAGCAGACATGATGAAAAAGGGATGAGGGATTAACACATTGCAATACTTCAGCTATTTTAGGTAAGATGTCACCAGATGTATTTAAATTTCTTGTGTCTGTATTCCTTTCCAAGTGTAAGAACAGGCTGCCATTGACCATGAGTGTGGAATTTCAGCCCAAGGCTTTTTTCAAATGTGAATGTAACTCACCGTTCCTTGCTATTAATGTACAATTTTAGCCTATGTTTAGTCAGAATTAGATTTTTCATGGAAGTAGCACTTGAAGTCAAAATCAAGTTTCATACTAAAAAGTATATTCTGATTTTCACATTAAGCAGGATGTGGTCCTGCTGTAAAAACTCTTCCAACACCAAATAACATCCCACATACCAATGCACAGTATAAATGCATTAAAGATTACCCACCATGTCCACTGCCAGCCAGCTGACAAACATGAATAGGATTTAGCCAAAGCCTCCCTACATGCAAAGCAGAAAAGACCAGAACCTCCCCCAAAATGAGTAGTTTCTACAGATGTAATTTGGGTGCCCACAGCTTCTGTGGGTGCTGCACCAAAAGCCACCTTGACAGGGAGGATGTGGCAGGGGAAGCTGGCCTGACCTGACTGTGAGAGAAGCGAGGTGGTGGAGCAGCCGGGCTGGTGAGGAGACTGGAAAGGGTCACGACATCTTCCTTTATAAGGAGAAAACAGCAGAGCTGCTTCAATCACGCCACACGTATTGTGGAGAGAAAAAGCAATTTCTAAAAAAAGATTTGGCTTTTCGTGGGTACTTGACGGGTTATTCAGAGGAGAGTGAATACAGGAGCTCCTGCAGGAGTTCGTGCTCAGATCTGTACAGCGCAACTCAGGGAAAACTTTTTGCTTTAGACAAAGGGTGCTGAAGAGAAGCCAAGTAAGTTTCTGAGAAAGCAGGAGAAAGACCAATCAGCATCTTTGTTCAGAGCCACAACTGAAGGACTCAAGTTGCATGTTGATACAAATCTCACCAGAGATTCGTTCACCCAGAGGGAACAGTAGGAGAGGAGAGGGGGGCAAGAGATTTAAGGTGTTCGTAGCTGATCTCCAAAGAGAAATGTATCTGCTTCACTGTTACTGAACATAACCACTGAAAGAGTTGAGTTTGTTCAGCCCTGAGTGAAGAGTTTCTGAAGGGCAAGTGTGGGGTCCTGCACCTAGGGAAGAACAACCCCAGACACCAGTACAGGCTAGGGGTTGACCTGCTGGGAAGCAGACCTGCAGAGAAGGACCTGAGAGTCCTGGTGGACAGCAAGCTCTCCATGAGCCAGCAATGTGCCCTTGTGGCCAAGAAGGCCAGTGGTATCCTGGGGTGCATTAAGAAGAGTGTGGCCAGCAGGTCGAGGGAGGTTATCCTCCCCCTTTGCCCTGGTGAGGCCATGTCTGGAGTGCTGTGTCCAATTCTGGGCTCCCCAGTTCAAGAAAGACAGGGAACTACTGGAGAGAGTCCAGCAGAGGGCTACAAAGATGACTAGGGGACTGGAGCATCTCTTGTATGAGGAAAGGCTGAGAGAGCTGGGTCTGTTTAGCCTGGGAAAGAGAAGACTGAGAGGGGATCTGATCAATACTTACAAACGTCTAAAGGGCTGGTGTCAGGAGGATGGGGCAGGACTCTTCTCTGTGGTGCTCAGTGACAGGACAAGGGGCAATGGGCACAATCTGGAACACAGGAAGTTCCATCTGAACATGAGGAAAAACTTCTTCACTGTGAGGGCAACTGAGCACTGGAACAGGCTTCTCAGAGAGGTTGTGGAGTCTCCTTCTCTGGAGGTACTCAAAAGCTGCCTGGATGCAATCCTGTGCACCCTGCTGTAGGTGATCCTGCTTTAGCAAGGGGTTGGACTAGATGATCTCCAGAGGTCCCTTCCAACCCCTACCATTCTGTGAATCTGTGATTCTGTGATTAGCTCAGACTTTACATAGGGAATTCAGTCTACTTTCTTCAGGAAGGACAGGTTAAAATTATGATGCAAAAGTACATGTTCTGTTGCTTCCTTGATTTGCAGTCTTCCTCCTCTTAGTTCTTGGATTGAGGAGAACTTTAACATCCTTATGTGTTAGAAAATCCTCGGTCTGAAAATAGCGTTGAAGTTCTCTGTCCTTTATTTCTGATTTGAAAATCACTTACTGTATTTTCCTTATATCCTTACTTTGTTCTCTTCTGTCCTGAAGAATTTTTGCAACTGAAACAAAACTTTTTAAAAAACCCACATATTTTGTCTCTATTTGAACAATATATCTTGCTGTCACCTACTGCAAGGAATGATAAATAATTTTTGGGATCGTGTATGTCATTGAAAATATTAGATTAAAACAAAAGATCTTGTTTGTGCCTTTAGACTTAATGAAAATGCTGAGACATTAAAGAATAAGTACAGGTTGACTGAAATAGCTATCACTGAGATAAGAAACAATGAGAACCAAGACAGGAATCAGATAACAGGCCAAAGTCCAGTAATGGCTTCAAGATTCTTGAGACCTGACAATAATTTTTCCCTGATTATACCTGTGAAAAGTGGAGGTCAAACACTGTAGTTTGTATCTGGAAAAGCACTAAAGAGAGAAAAAGAACCAGATAATGTATAAGGCAGGGGAGAGTATGTTCAATCTGTTGGGAGAAAGCTCATTTAGAAAGGGGTGTTTATGTGCCCTGAGATATACAGACATTGGTAGTATATGTTTTTACTGCTATACACCATGAAACTGGGATATCCACTTTCCTTAGGTCTAGTCTTTTCTAGTCTCCCTTTCAACAAACTACAAACTGCATCTGCCTGTTTGCATTTGGTCACCAGCTTCCTTTACGCTCCACGTGGTACACGAAACTGACTCCCAGCCATAATCTACCTAAGAAATGTAGATTTTTTTCAGTTCAGCAGTTGAGGTAAAGTGTGAGGCATTAGCAGTCCACCAAAGAAGTGTTTTTATAGCTTGCAGTGGAGGACCTGTGTTGCAAGACATTGAGAGACATGAGGATATCTAAGCGTGCAAACTGGGACAGTGGTTGAGGATAGTGTGGTACGGAGGAAACTTAGCTTGGGTGCAGTCTTCTTCATGCTGCCTTTTAGGAGTGATCTTTGGATTGGACTATCACCAAAACTATGCTTGGGTGCTATTTTAGAGAGCTAGTTGAAGAAGTCTAAAGCAGAGCCAGAGAACAGGTAGGAAGGCATATGGGTCATCAAGGATCCAGTGCTCAGTTTTCTTCCCTGAGTTTCTTTTAGTCAGTAGTGCAAAGGTATGCTCTGAATCCTTGTGCTAGACAATTAATGGAGTGCAAATAATATCAATGCTGAAAAGTTCGCCATACCTATTATTAATTAAGTCTAAAGAATGAATTCTCATTTTGAGATCGTAAAGAGTTGCTCAGGAAATGTCCAAAGAAACTTGAAAACCTGCACTGTGAGGAGATGGTGGTTAATGTCTGTAGTGTTTTGGAAATGGCAAGACTTTTCTAGAGCATGAAAAATGATTGAAAACTTAGGAAAATGAATGTAAAATGATACTGGTTTAATTGAAGCTGTTGAACATTATTGAAGTAATTGAACAGCACAATACTAGACTGTAAGCATTTTACACTTACCTTCCTGTGCAAGTATTTTGTAATGGGCAATACAGTGAAAAAGTGAGTTTGTTAATTTTTTGTGTGTTTTCAGATTTACATCAAAGTGTAAATAACAGGTCTCTCTATAAGTTCTTTTTGACACAAGCAGAGGAAAAGTACCACTCAAGAATGAAGCTACCATTTATAAACACAGAAGATGTGTTTATATGTTTCCAGCATATTCTAGCCCAGATACTAGGCTTTTGGAGTCTTTAAAAAGTGATATTTTAAAAACGGTACAGAGAAGACTTTTCCTTCTTCCAAGAACTTTTGTTTATGATATTTGTAAATCCTGACACTAAAACAACAACAATTAACCTCTTAGCTTTTATCTCTCTTGTAGGGTGATAGCTCCTATGTAAAGGATCGTTGGTGTGTGTTCGATGGATTCATGGTCTTTTGTCTTTGGGTGTCACTGGTTTTACAGGTAATTATTTCACTTACCTTTTTCAATGAATAGTTCCTAAATTGTGAAAAATATATGGCACAACCAAGTAATTACAAGTTGTGGAAGTATTGCAGAGCATAGGTCAAATTGTTTTTAAAAAAACTGTACTGAATTCAATAGCTCCATAATTGCACGTTGCAGCCAATCTACATTAGTAGTAGAATTTATCTTGTTTAGTTTTTCTTATTGAGAAGTTATACATTAATCTGAAGCTTGTTACCATAAACCATCTGCATAGTCAAAAGGGAGAGAAGGATCTTCAGGAGCCATTTATCTCTTATTCCATATGACAGTTGTGCTCACCTCCTTCCATTGAGTCTAGCAGGATGCCATGGTGACTGACTTATGCAACTAAAGGCAGAATTATTCCAATGGTAGATGTTTGCCATGCTGTAGGTGTATTGATATGAAGGGGTTTCATGTAATATGGCCCACACCTAACAAAACCTGTTCCAAAATTCAAGTTAAAGCACAATGCAAAAAATAGTAATGAACACATTTGGAAACAATTTGATAAATTTTCATTAAGAAGGGAACTTGGACATGTTACAAAAATGCATAGATTGGTAAGGTACAGGTTAAATTGTGTCCTGCAAACCCATCGCTCCTTAACCATAGTATTTTGGGTAAGAACAGATTGAAGGCTGTGAGACTGGGTCTGCAATAGTATAAGGATTGTAAAAGTTGTGTAGCGATTGCTGTTAGGCGTAACTTACCCACTTCTGAAAAATTTAAGACACATTGTAATTTTCTGCTTTATACACAGGGGAAACTTTGGTACATCATGTACACACGTAGAGTGAAGGCTGATCATTACAGATAAGCACCGTAGATGACCTGGCTTCTGAGTTGCCAGATTCCCCCTCCATTTTCTTAGTACTTTGAGTGAATACTAAATTAAGCAGTTACTCTCAGAGAGAGAGAGACAAGGATTAAAAAAAGTCATTTTCACCCAATCATTAAGCTAAATAGTCTTTATGGAGTGCCTACCTGTCAATGTATTAAGGAAATGGTTCCCTGTTCTATTGCTTGGCTGAAATTTGTGTCATAAGTGGAGTCTAGGAGAAGACCATGTACAGTTTTCCCATGCACGTCAAATTAAATGGAGAATTTATAAGCATGTTGCAACTCATAAGGCAATCTGTTTATATGTACTTTTACATCGTAGTAAAAACCTTAGTGGTGTGCAACATTAGCAGATACTGATTTTCATATTTGGAAATGTAAGTTACTCACTTTTAACAAAGTTGTGGGAAACTTGTGGGGTAGGACTAGCACACAAGCAGGCAGCTGACACAAGCTTGCACAGTCTTGTTTGAGACAGAAGTATTATGAACATAGGCAGAGTATATTTTTGGAATTTCATTAGGATAACTTAGATATGGATTAAAGGATTTACTAAGACTTTTCTTTTAAAAAACATAGTTAAGATGAACCATAAAATAAACCAAGAGAAGATTGAAAATAAAAATTAAAATCATGTATAGCATTCATAGTTTTAAAAGTTCTGTCAATGAATACAGGAAAGGGGCAGAATCATCAAGGAAAAACTCCTGATGTTTTTGTTTGTAGGTGTTTGAAATTGCTGAAATAGTTGACCAGATGTCACCTTGGGGCATGTTACGGATTCCACGACCACTCATTATGATTCGAGCATTCCGAATATATTTTCGTTTTGAGCTGCCAAGAACTAGGATAACAAACATCTTGAAGTAAGTAAGGCTGTTTTCTGAAGAACAACTGAGAAAATTTCAGTTTTGACTTAGAAGACTGACCATGCACTCAGAGAATGACCCTTCATTCTTAATGAGCATTTTCTTCCTGATTCTTCTCCATCTTTAAGGAATCATCAGGTTTCCTAGAAAATGATCAAAACTATCAAATATTTAAGTTAATCTTAAAGCATTTTGCTAATAACTGCAGTCAGCAATTTTCAACCTGTGGCAGTAAATTCTATTCCATTAATATGGGTACTTAAAATCAAGGTGAATAGTCTTAGTAGGGTAATATTCACAAATAAAAATACATGAGCACACGCCCTAAACATTTCAGTTACAGGTATACATGTATTGGTATATGTACAGAGATGCTCACATGCAAGCAAACACACGTAAGTATGTTTGGTACAGCATATAATAGCAAAAACCATGTAATGGTGATGTGAAAGAGTTCTTTTGTCTTTATTTGGTATCAACATTACTTCATCATCATATCTTGTCTGTGTAAGTCATTAGCTACTATTTTACAAAAGCTAGACTATACATTTTTAATTTATTTTTTTTTGTTTCAGTCTTTGTAGTTTACAACTGGTTTAATTACCCTAACTTATAGGCTTAGAAAAAATTGTGGCTCCCTTTTCTATCTCTGCACAGACCAAGAGATCAGTTTTAAGGACAAATTTTCTGCAGGATGAAATACTACTTTCTCTGTGTGAGCCTATTTTCTATTCTGGACCTTTTCAGAGGAGGCTTCACATTGCCTGTGCATTCGGTGTCATATTTATCTTTTTTGCCAGGCGTTCTGGAGAGCAAATCTGGAGCGTTTCGATTTTCCTTCTGTTCTTTCTCCTCCTGTATGGGATCCTGGGAGTTCAGATGTTTGGAACTTTTACGTACCATTGTGTGACAGACGACACACAGCCAGGGTGAGTTAGCCTGTACAGGCATGACGTGGGGCTGTTCTTCATTGCATATGTATAATTGTAGTTAGTGTCAGTGAGTGTAAAATGGACTTAAAGTAGTCCACCAAAATGCACTAAGATAAATTGGGGAAGCAAAAATGTTAGGAATTATGAAAAATACAAATTTTAACTGTGACAGATTACAAATTATGGCATTGGGCTTCAGTCTGAGTTAGGGGGTGAGTGACTGTGTATGTGCAGGGGGGAGTGAGAGAGCAGGAGAGCAGAGGAGGCTTTAAGAGGAGCGTTGCCACTTGTGGCTGACTCGGGTCACTGATGATTCATCAGCCTTTGGAAAATAGTTATGATTAATGTTTTACACTGGTGATCGAGTATACATCATATTTTTGATTCAGCACAGACTTAAACACAAGATTAACTTGAAGTGCAGTATGGCCTCTTGTCACTGGGATGGCTTATAAAATCACAGAAAAGTATATGCTTACATGTCCTGTGGAATTGAGGGCTTGACTGTATGGTTGACCACCATTACATTGTGAGATTCTATTACATCTTTTTCTTTGCTTTGTCCCTGTTTCTTTGGATAGGGAAATGTTAGCTATGGAGCTGTAGCCTTTACTTTAGTCAAAATTGGATCCTTTTATTCCTATATTGAATTTGTCAGAACATAAAATAGAGTAGATGTTTTAAGAAAGCAAAACACCACTTAATCTGCCACTGTGTTGAATAAAAAGTCTGATTATTGCAAAACTCTGTGTTAAAAGATTTTTCTAACCTAGGGCCTATAAGCTATCAAATATAAAATGAGGTTATTAAAAGTGTCAGATACACAAAAGGTTACAAAATTATTTGAGAATATGCTAGACATTATATGGTATTTTGTTAAAGGAAAACATTGACTTTTGGATATTTTCTTATTTATTTAATCAATACTATAGTAAAATATGGAGCTGATCTTCACCTAGACTGGAAATGAGATGTTTCATTCTGACTTTTCCCCTTTTTAAAGAGACAGTCTTTATATCACAGATTTTTTTACCGTTTCCCATAGGCGTGGGGGGAAAAATCTTTGTGAAAAAGTTGTTTGTGGTAATGAGAAGATCTGTGATTTTGTGATTTACCTATGTTGTTTGGAAAAACAAGAAGCAGAATAGACAACACAGGGAAAATTGGGCATCATATGATTGCTTGCGTCACTGAATACAGCTTTTCCCTGAAATCAGCAGAAAAAGATGAAGTGAGACATAATAATGTTTGCAATATAGAAAGTTAAGTTTATAACTTCTTTTAACTTCTGCATGGGTTGCTCGCTGTATATTGCATTATTTTCTTTTTAAAAAAAAGTTAGTTTATGGAAACACCTCGATCTTAGGTTGTTGAAAAGCTGAATTACACAAATAGGTTAAGAGTCAAATGTCCAGTACATAAAATAAAAATAAAAACCTGTCTAAAATGGGTTAAAGTTGGAAAAGTCAAGCATGCAGAATTAAGGCAATTTGAGACTTGAGGTTGAACATCTAGCCTTAACTTCTTTTTCTTTCAATATCATCACGTATATATATATATTTAGCTGTTTAATAATTAGAAATCTTATTTAACTTACTTTTTAAGTACCTGGGATAGGCATCTTCAGTAAGTAATTAACAACTTTTGCCATTTCCAAACCAGAATTGTAACTTTAAATGGCTCCCATGGTTGTATATGAGGACTACAGTTACATTGGAAAACACTTTTTCCCTAGAAGTGTTGCCTCATTTATTCTGACAAATGAATGGTGCTCACACAAAGAACCATATATTGTTTTCTTTGTTGCTTGACATGTGGACTTATACCTTACTTTTGGCATACTGCTCATTCGTACTCTGAAAACACTCACTTCTACTTCTTGTCAGTAACATTCATCATTATACATTGTGAACACTTATACATATCTGATCCTTTTTTAATTTTTGAGGAATCAGAAGCTGTGGGTGGAGTTAGATTGTGCCTTCTTCGTGTAGGTCAGGGAAGGCTCTGACCTTCCCAGAGCTGGCTGTAGAACAACCACTATGGTCTGGGAAAATAAATATACAGAAAGAAATAAAAGTTCTGGTGCCAAAAGAGGACGATTTAGAGGCAGACATTGGTCCAAAATGTAGTTAGAAAGGAGGCGACATGCCACTTCTGAATCCAGGAGAGTTTATTAGCTGAGCTGTGGTACAGCACAAAAGCCTAGACAAATTTTATTTTTGTCTTTGAGGTTTAATTTTTCAACTTTATAATGAGGATTAAACATTCATCTTAGAAGTTGAGTCTGGTCAGTCAGTCTTTCTCCGGTGGTTCTATTCCAGGCAATGGAGAGTGGCCAAAGTTGGCTGTACTTGGCCTTAAATAACTTCAGAGTCTTTAATGAGCCACAGCTGTAATTACCCAGTCTATCTGCAGACCAGATCCCAGGCTCCCAAGTCAACATTAGAAAGTGAAAAGCATCCAATTTGTGGCCACCTGTGAGAACTTTAATTTTAGGTGATTTCCCTCGTATTATGCAGAATTCTATGGGAAGAGGCAAGGGCAGAGTCTTATTATTGAGGTCAGGACTTCATCTAGTTCAGAAATTTTAGAAATCACTCTTTAAGTCTACTGCCTTCTGAATTATTATTATAAGGGAGGCAAGTGTCTTTTGAAAACAGCATCTTAAAATCTTGCTATTCTTTTTGTATTTGAGAGGACATGCAGCCTCATCAGACACTCATTGCCTCTTTGACCGCTGCAACTTCTTTTATCTTTCCATCCTTCTTGACGCCCACACTGCCTGACCTCCTGTCTCTCCACCTCCTCAGTCATTTTCTAATGTTAACTCTGACAAACAGAAATACTGAAGTGAGCTAACTGCGATCTGAGTTTTTCATTCCATCTGTGAAATCAGCAAAGTCTGACTTCCTTCCAAAGGCTGAAAAGTTGGGGGTTTTTTTGTTGTTTGATGATAAATCTTTTTTCCCCTCATTCTCACAATCTTCTTTATTTTGCCAGACTTTTTCTTCCTTACAGGGAACACTGTCTTCTTCCTAGACAATTTTCTCACTTAGTATTCCCTTGTGATTATTACTTATCTTTTTACAGCTCTGCTGTCACAGCTTTTCCCTGATGATTTCTCCAACCAGCGTATCTATTTTTTTCCCAATAAGCAGCATATTACATGGATTTCCTTAATATGGATCTTCTTTAGTTATTTGAAAGACACATAGTATGGTTGGAAGGTACTGTATATATAATCCAATTATCTAGATAAGTCCATACATTATAAGCAGTTTGGCAGGTTATTTTGTGATATCTGAGATTAATTTCAAAGAAGTGAACAAAGATGGGGAAAATAGGTTGTGTTCCTGAATCTACTGTAATTTACTCTCAGGCACCTCCAGTATACAACAGGTACTTCCACAAGGACAGGAAAGAGAAATTATTTCCCAACTATTGCTTTGGCTCTGTTAGAGTATTCTGTATATCTTCACACACTAGCTACTCAGTGTTTTCTTTATTTTTACTACAAAGACATGTTTGACTACACAAACATATTTTCATACTGCATAATTGGATTACATTTATTCCACAACAGTAAATTTTCCTGTTGTAATTCTCAGCCTGCACGGGAGCTAGGGTAAAGGAAGCCTCCCCTCATCAAAACGAAGAAGGCTAATATGGCTAACTGCCATAAAATGTAGTACTTATCTATTTCTTCTCCCGAAGTCATTCTTTAAGGGCCTTTTTTTAATGCTTTCAGTAGGGTATAGATTGAGCATTTCTGTAGACCTGTCTGCCTTGTCACCGTGGCAGACAATTTAAAATCCTTCTTTGCAAGGTTTCTTGTTTAAAGTAGCAACTGCCCAGGAAAATAGATAAGAAAAATAATTACCAAGTAATAGAAAGATCTAAGAGGTTCTTGGTCATCTTTCCATCTGTCTATGGGTAGGCCCTGAAAATGTCAGAAAACAGCTTCAAAGACTCTGGAGCTGAAAGTTCACCACAATATCTAATAGAGGAAATAAATATGATTAAAAAGAACAAAAGGGATTCGAGATACTGTCTCACATCAGCAGTGGGAAGATATGAATGAGTAATTGGATTTCTGAGAAAAGGAAGAAATCAAAGACCAAACTTGAAAAGTCAACGTAACAGGACTTCTTTAACAGGCCACATTAATTTATTGATGCTAGTTGAACGACAAGCACTGCTTTAATACTGCCTTTGGGATTTATTCACAATCTCTGCTAATGGTGCTATGTCTCTACTATAACATCATCAGGGAGAAGAGAAATAGAAGAAATCTTACTTTTTCAGGCCTGATGTTGTTCAGACCCCAAATGAAATCAAGAAAAGTACAGCATCAGACTAAAAGGGAAGTAATTCAATCCAAATGGGATCCTATGAAAAGGATGGAGGAGCATGCTGAGGTGATGGCCAGTATTGGTGCCCAAGGGAAGCCGTCTTCAGGAGTAGACTGTCAGAGGGCCTGTGATTTCTGAGCAGAAATCCTGAGTTTGTCTAGAATTGTTACATAGACAGTTACTCAAAGCAATTGGGCTGTTGATTCATTTCACACAGGCTTTACAGTGGTTTTTGTTTGTCCAGCTCCCAATAACCTCAGCACTTGGTGTCTTAGTAATGACACATGCTTACCTGTGTTAAGATTTGGAGCCAGTCGGGTTTACACAATTCTTCGTCCCTGCGAAAACATCAAATTTTATTAAACTTCTACTCAGCCTGTCAACCTTTAGGGGATTCTGCTCCTTCTCTGGCTAGTAAATACTCCTTTTGAGTAAGCTAGAGTGGATTTTATAGACTAGGGTGAAATTGGTGACTATAAATGTAAGAATTTGAATAACATAACTGCCACATCTCTACAACTACCACAACTACAAAAAATTCCATATTTATCCACAAGATTTTTACCTTATAATTGCTATACAGAATTAAGGTCTGGGGAGTACTGAACTTTCCATAGGAAACCTGCAGGAGGCCAGGATGCT